TTAAACATACCAACAATGATAAGTATGTAAATATGCAGGACCTGGCAGTGTTTTCTTACAACATCAACAGTATGGCTACAATTAAAAAAGAGGATTGGGGTATGGTAGAGTGGGTGTAAAGAAATGAGAACTACTGGGAATGTAAAACCGTAGTCATTGTAGAAAACTACATGGCAGTTTCTCAAAAAAACTAGAGGTAGTGCTGCCATATGACCCAGCAATTCTACTATATATTCCAGTATATACCCCAGGGTTCTAACAGAAGTAACATAAACAGACATGTGCATATTTTTGTTCATCACAGCATCATTAACAACAGTAAAAAGATGTAAACAACCTAAGTGAACGGCAAAGATGAATGGCTAAGTGGAATATGGCATAACTGTATATGTACACAAATCCTAAGGGAAAATAGTTTCAAAAAATCTTATAACATGGATGACATTGTGCTGAGCAAAATAAGTCAGTCATAAAAATATACATATTGCTTGCTCTCACTTTTGGTAAATACATAGGTATTTACATAGAAACTAATAGCATGCAAGTAAAATTTTGCTGAAGATAACTCAAAAAACAGTTGCAGTAGACCAGATGATGCACAGCGGTACAGATGGGAATTGGAAATGCAGGGAATCTAGGACAGATGAACCTCTCAGGACCAGGGGTGACAGTGGCGAAACCAGAAGGGAAGGGGGGTGTAGAAAGGGGGAATGGATCACAGGGAGCTACGTATAACCTCCTCTCTGGGGGACGGGCAGCAGAGGGGTGGGTGAAGGGAGACGCCGGGCAGTGTAATATAAGATATAATAATAATTTATAAATTATCAAGGGTGCATGGGGGAGAGGGGAGGAGGAAGGGAAGGGGAGGGGATAAAAGGAAAATGAGCTGATTCCGGGAACCCAAGAGGAAAGCGGATTTTGAGAATAATGAGGGCAACAAATGTATAGATGTGCTTTACACAATTGATCTATGTATTGTGATGAATTATATGAGCCTCAATAAATTGATTTTTTTTTAAAGAAATTAAAAAAAATGGAAAAAAAACAGTTGCAGTAGTCAATTTGATTTGTGTATTCCATTTGGAGAAGTCCGTGTGTATAGTTGTTTGTGTTATTGAAAATAACATATTTGGGATAAGGAAGTTGTACTAGCAAAATTCTATCATGCAATCTCCAGCTTTGCTTCTTTCTCCAGGGCCATATTTTCCAACTACTGTTCCTTCTCTTTGTTTCCAACTTTTGCATTACAATTGCCAATAATTTTATCAATGCATCTTGATTGCAATTTGATCAGTTTCAGACTGAAGACAATGATGAAATTCTTCAATTTCTGCATCACTAGCTTTAGTGGTTGGAGCATAAATATGAATAATAGTTGCACTGACTGGACTGTCCCATATGTAGGTAGATATTATCCTATCACACAGCATTGTACTTCAAGACATATCTTAAAAGGTCCATTTTGACAATGAATGAAATGCCTTTTCTCTTGAATCTGTCATTCCCAACATAGGAAATCATGATTTTCTGATTCAAAGTAGCCAATATCAGTGGTTCGGTTCAGTTCAGTTGAGAATATTGATCTTCATGCATTTTGACAACTTCCAATTTTCCTAGATTTATACTTCATATATTCCAAGTTCTTATTAGTAATAGAATTTTGTAGCTCTTTCTTCTCATTTTGAGTCATGCCCCATCAGCAAATGAAGGTCCTGAAGGCTTTGCTCCATTTATGTCATTACAGCCAACTCTACGTTGCAAAGGTAGCTCTTCCTCAGATATATTTTGAGTGCCTTTCAACCTTAGGGGCTCATCATCTGGCACTATATCACTGTGTCCTGTTGCTATTCAGTAGACCTTCAAAATCTGGCAATATCCTGTTGATATGCAGATGGTTTTCAGTAGCTTATTCCTCTGAATTGGACAGCCTCGTCCTACTTCACAGTCTGTTGTTGGTCTCTAAAATCCACTGAAACCTGTTGACTTTGGGCACCCTGATGGTATGTGAAACACCAGTGGCATAACTTACAGCAACAAAGCAACACACAAGCCACCACAGTACAACAACCTGACAGACAAGTAGTGGTCAAGGAGGGATGAATGCATCTTACCTGCTAAACCACTGAGAAAGCTGGCCCAGCCAAGCTGACACAAAATTTGATTATCACAGGTGATATAACGAAGCATCTACTGACTTAGCAAGCACTAAGATAGTTGCTAATCCAAGCATTTGGAAAGAAGCTTCATTGGTGATTTGTGAGAGTGGCAATGTCCAATAAAGTGATCATGTCTGATAGAGTGAAATTTACACATACTTTCAAACTGAATAACTTTATTTCTAGCAACATATACAAGAACAAATAGCCTAAAAACGTTTTGGTTCACCTGAACTTTAAGAGAATTTTTTAAAGCTATTTGCCTAAAATCCAGTTACAAAAGACTACATATTGTATGATTTCATTTATATGAAATGTCTAGTACAAGCTAAAGTCTCTATAGAAAGTTAATTCTCAATAAAAACAGAAGTCAGAAATCAATATGATGTCACCTTTGGTGTTTGAGGAAAAAACATTGTCAACCTAGAATTTTGTATGTTGCTAAGAGAATGTATAAAAATAGCATAGTATAGTCCACAAAGAAAAGATTCTACACACTAGCTCTGGTGAATAGCCATTGGGGGTCTTAGAGACTTGAGAGTGACCCTCTAAGGTGCAGCGATTGGTCTATACCTGTCCAGAGGAAAGAAAAATGAAGAAATGTAAACAACTAGTCTAATGGATTAATGGAAACATGGAAACAACTAGTCTAATGGATTAATGGACCACGTAAACATCAGTCTCTAGAACCCTGAGACCACATTAAAAGGTCCCTAGATAAAGTGAGAAAAAATTGTGGAACAAATCTCAAAATCATAAAAAGAAAAAAAGAAAAAGACTAGGCTCACTGATAAGACAGCGACTAGTAAAACCTTCTATGCCCCTTTCTCACCTTTCATGTCCGGAAATGAACTCATTCCCATGTCTCAATTTGCAGCTAAAGAATGGACAGGCCCATAAAGGGAACAACACTAGGGAAGTATGCACACCGTAGTCAAGCATTTATGATCAAAAGGACAGCATCCACCCAAGGACGAAGTTCAGAAGATTTAGGAAAGAAAGGGGAATGGAAACAGAAAACAAGCAGGAGGTAGGATAGGTGATGTCATATTGAGGGATTGCAATCAGCAAAATGAAACAAAATGTGTGTCAATTGTTGAATGGCAAATACCTGCCCTGAAAACACAATATCGAGGAGGAAAATAAAGGACGTGAGGAAAAGATGGAGGTTTGTATTATTAGCAGCTTCAAAAGACACCCTTGGCACCTCCAGGTACTTTCTCAGTCACACACCTGCTACCACTTTTGCAACCACATTCATCCCTTGCTCACAAAACTGACACTCTTAAGATATAGTCCAATCCTTTAACCCAACATTTAAGACTCTCCAAATGTGTTCTACCACTCCTTTAACACTTAGTACACATTACCTTCACAGGAGTTTCCATTTTAGGAAGAGTTATGTACTTCTCAAGTGAAGAATCTATTCGTTTATCTATTTTAGTTTATTCTTAGTATCACTAAAAGCTCCCAGCACAATATCTTGCATACAATTTAGGCCCAACAACTGTTAATAATGATCACCCACTCCCTTATTTTCAAATTGTTGCATTTTCCCAAAGGTGGAGTTAGTGGGTTCTCCACTGAAAATATCAATTAAGGCTTCAAAATCCTTACCACAGTGGTTGTTGGACTTGATGCTTAATTGTTGTGTGCTGTGGAGTCAGTTTCGCCTCTAACACAAAGCAGAACTTCCTCATGGTTTTCCTAAACTGGAATCTTCACAGGCAACAGCTACTCGGCCTTTTCTCCCACAGAGCAGCTAGTGGGTTGAAACCTCCAACCTTGCAATTAGCAACCGAATTCTTTTTGTTGTTGTTTATGTCTTTTTTTTAAAATCATTTTATTGGGAGCTCTTACAACTCTTCTCACAATCCATACAGACATCCATTGTGCAAAGCACATTTGTACATTTGTTGCCCTTAACATTCTCAAAACATTTGTTTTCTACTTGAGCTCTTGGTATCAGCTCATTTTCCCCCTCCCTCCCTGCCCGCCTCCCTCATGAAGCATTGATAATTTATACATTATTATTATTTTGTCATTTCTTATACTGTCTGATGTCTTCCTGCACCCACTTTTCTGTTGTCCATCCCCCAGGGAGGAGGTCACATGCAGATCCTTGTCATCGGTTCCCTTTCCAACCCACCCTCCCTCTACCCACCCTCCCAGTATCGCCACTCACACCACTGGTCCTGAAGGGATCATCCGCCCTGGATTCCCTGTATTTCCAGTTCCTATCTATACCAGTGTACGTCCTCTGGTCTAGCCAGATGTGTAAGGTAGAATTGGGATCATGATAGTGGGGGGGGGGGGTGTCTGAAGCATTTAGGAACTAGAGGAAAGTTGTATGTTTCATCATTGCTACATCGCACCCTGACTGGCTCTTCTCCCCGCGACCCTTCGGTCGTAAGGGGAAGTCCAGCAACCAAATTTTTGGCATCAACTGGGGTCCTTCAATACATACGAGAAGACTCTGGTTTCTCTTCAGATCGCATAATACATAAGAGAGAAGGGAAATTGCATTAATATAAAGAACACACCGATCTGTACTTGAATTGATTACGTGTGCCTAAAGTGGTAACGCTTCTGAGAAAAGCTGGAAAGGAAACAGCCTTTGAGTTCGCTTAGATGTGGAAAGAAAACCGCCCTTCAGGACCAACCGCAGCCCCTCCCCCTCCGCTACCTCCGAGCCGACTCCGGAACCAGGTGGGCTGAGGAGGCGGGCTTTCATGCCCTTGCCCATTGATTGGTCAAACGGAACCACCAGCCTCTGTGATTGGTCGCCACCGAGAGACGCCGCGAGGGGCACGTGGTTCCCTTCAAGTTTAGACGCAGTGCTCGATGGCGGCTGCGGACGCTTCGGCCGCTCTCCACGGCCCTTCTTCCTGCCCTCAGCTGGCAAGGAAGAATCACCCTTGGGGCGCTGCCGAGATACGGTGTACCCAGTGTGGGAAAAGAGTGCCCAGCCTTTCCGGTGAGGAACCCCAAAGATTAACCCCACCGGGGCTGCCCATAGGCCTCGCCTCCCGCCCCCACGCGGACCCCGAGCCGCCGGGAGTCGGACGGGCAGCGAGGTGAAGTGTGGACGGGCCTCTCCAGTGGCGGGAACGGTGGGCCCTCTGAGAGGCGCCCTGACAGGGACAGCGCACCTCCGCGGACGGACGCACGCACGCACGCACGCACGCACGCACGCACTGCGTCGCGCCCGCCTGGCCCTCCCCGCCCAGCCGTTACAACGGAAGCTCGCGGGCTGTTGGCTGCCCGCCGCCGCCCAGCGCTCTCCGCCAGGCCTGGTGGAAATGCCGCCAGTCCCCGGGGGTCTGGACGTAGCGGGTGTTCCCGCGTAGCCGGCCGACCACGTGAAAGGCTCCTGGATCGATGAACAGCCCAATCCGGGGCCCGACACGTCGCTGGGTTGTGAGCGCCTGGCAGATAGGTCACTTAGCTAGGGGGGGTGGAGGGCGGATTAAAGCTTCCCTTAACATTAAGGGGATGAGTCGTACACAATTTGGCAGTAGTATACATTTTGGGGGTAGTAAGAGGATTTGATATTCGCCCATTCCCTTTTAGGTGTTGCCTGACAGAAAGCTTTTTAAAGTGATAACCATCGACGTTACATAGCTAAGACCAAAATCAACAAGGGAAGAACGATGACTGTGTAAACTTCATATTCTGCTTCCAGAAGCAAATTGACTGCTGGAAGTTGATGCCAACTCTTGGGGACCCTAGAGGAGGTGGAATTGCCCTTTGGGTTTCTAGGGTTGTTAAAGCTTTTGCCAACGTTGTGATTCCGACTCATAGTGGCCCTATATAGGACAGAGTAGAACTACCCCTTAGGGTGTTCAGGACTAACCCCTCCAAAAAAGCCCTATTTTATTGGGAACTAATACAGATATATTGTTCTATAGTTAATCACATCAAGCAGTATTGTACAGTTGCTACCACAGTCAGTTTCAAAACATTCTCTTACTTCTTGAACTGTGTGACATCGGCTCCCCTTTACTCCACCCCACCCCACCTACTCAGTAGCCCTTATTTTACTTGCTGTCTCTAGGTTCATCAATCCTGGGTTTCATATACTGAAAAATGGGTAACAAAAATTCAAGAGGGTTATTACCCCACTGACAAAATATATCTGAGATAAACCCCAATATAAAGCAGCAAACTAAAACCACAGAAAATGTTGAAAACCAGACCAGGCCCAATGTGTATCAGTAGTGGGGTGGGAAGTCAACTAACAAGGTCTGAACCTTTCAAATCAGGTCATTTTGATCTCAACTTTTTACAGAAGTAGAAAGCTTTATGTGTCTCCTGAGGAATGGCTAGTGATTTTGAACTATTGACCTTGTGGTTAAATCTTTAGGCTAGCAGTTCTCAACCTGTGGGTCGTGACCCCTTTGGGGGTGGAATGACCCTTTCACAGAGGTCGCTTAAGACCATCAGAAAACATATTTGTGCTACCGAGGTTGTGAAATAATGCTAGCTTTGTGAAATTGGGAGTTATTCGTGTGTGTGTGTGTGTGTGTGTGTGTGTGTGTGTGTGTGTGTGTAACAATAGTAGCATCTGACTTCTATAATAGAGGGCCTTACCAATATCATAGATCAGCATAAGCAAGGAACATTCATATAAGATCTTCCCAATGCTTTATGTTGGCCCACTCTGCCTCCTTCACATAATTAAAAGGGTGAATTTGAGCATAATATCAAGTAGAATGAACATTGGACTTAGAAGCACAACTTAGTCTGGCTTATACCACTTGGCCAAATCACTGAATATTTTTCATTTCCATATTGAGTATAATATCCTCAGCCTACTTAGCCATGATATCTACAAATATCAAATGAATTATAAATATAGTGGTTACCACATAAAGGCATATACTAAAGAGTTCATCCTGGTTTTTCATCATGACTTTCACTCACCGCCTGGCCTGTATAGCTTCTCCTGAATTTTTTTTAGTAACTCGCCCATTTCTGAGTAAATTAGATGTTTCTTCTGATATAGTAGAATCCCCTTTGCAATTCCCCTCAAGTCAGTAGAGCACATTCATTGTAACCAAACTACAAGAAATTTTAATTAACAACAGAATTTCATCAACAGGTCATCAGCATGAACTTCAGTGTGGACACACATTTTGTGAACAGTGCTTGTTGATAACCGAAGGATACAGCACAACTGTAAGCCCCAATTGTGAGGTAAATTACAATTCTTCATCGTGCATGCATTGCAGTTTAATGTTAAAGGTAAAAATGTTGGAGAAGTAAAGCATATATCTAGTTGGAAACTGAAAACATGATTTGTTTGGGGTTTTTTTTTTATTCATTTGCTGCTGAATCTAAATGAAGGAGCCTAATGAGAAAACTTCCTGTCCCGTTTTACACTTGTGATCAAGGATACTAAAATGTTAAAGTCATAACATCTATCATAGGGTATGAGTCTTTCAAGGCACATCACTTGGAAAATTGCAAATTAAAAATAATTCTTTGCTTCCTTTCTTCCCCATTTTATTCTTAACCCTGCCTCTCTCTTACTCTGCAAGCAAATCTTGAACTCCCTTACTCTTCTAACCTTCATGTGTCATTAGATTGAGGTTTGTAGATAGGCCATAGTATCAGAAAGGCAGCCAGTTGAACAGTGGCCAAAAGTTAATGCATACAATCAGAAGCACCAAAAATAGTACACCTGCCCCAGAATTAAAATCAGTATCAATCCATAAAGTGAATGCAAATTAAGGATTCCAAATCAAAGTACTGAGCGCACCCTTTGCATTTACTACAGAAAACAAAGGTCATTTGACTTTTATAGCCTGTTCTTGTAAAATTGTATTAACCTGTAAGTAATTAACCTATATATTTTTAAAGTTCCATCTGCGTGATCAGAGCACGAGGATTATATTGGGTTTGGGGTTTCTTTCCCTTGTTTCTGTGTGACAAATAATTGATGTGGAGACAGAAGATCCCATTATTAGTTCTGTCACCCTAAACTTTTACATATATAAGATATAAAAGCCAACAAGGAGAGTAGAAATACCAGCAAGATTAGGGGAGGGTGGGATGGAGAAAGGAGGAACTGATCACAAGGATCAATTAGAACCCCCTCCCAGGGGGATGAATAATAGAAAAGTGGGTGAGGAGCGACGGAGGATGATGTAACATATGGAAAAAATAATCTATAACTTATCAAGGGTTCGTGAGGAAGGGTGGAGTTGGAGGGAGGGGGAAAAATGGGGAGCGGATATCGGGCTCAAGTGGGAAGAGAATGCTTTGAAAATGATGATGGCATATTTGCAAATGTGCTTGACACACTGGAGGAATTTATGGATTTTGATAAGAGATGTAAGAGTCCTCAATAAAAGTATTTATTAAAAGATATAAAGAATGCCTGCTTTGTCTTACTCATTGGATGGTAAGAATCACATCTGAAAAGTTCTCTACCAGGGTTAAGGCCATTAAGAAAGGTGTTATAGCTACTCATGATTATTTAAGTATGGGTTAGTGGTTTGCAGGAAGACAAAAGTTTAACAACCTTTTGCCTTTGGGGGGAGCAGTGATTTCTAATCTAATGGACTTAAACCATCAAAGTTGTATCATAGTTAGGATTTTGGATAACTTAGAAATATATATATATATATAACGTGCTTACAACATAGTAGTTTTACTTTACTTTTACTGTCTTTAACGGGAATAGATTTATTTAACAAAGCCAAGTAACAGTTTCTTTCTGGGTTAGGAAGTGACACTGGGTGCAGGGTTCTATTTTGAGGGGCCACTTGCAATGCGACTTCAGTGATCTGAGGTTTGTCTGGGATTCTGACAGTACAATTAATTACCTTTCTCTATAGTCTCAGTAATTCAGGCTTAGGCTATCTTCACCATACCCAGGGGTGTTATCCCTGTACAGAACCGGTGACTTGCTCACACAGTAAACAGATTAGAGGCCCCTCTGATGTCTCTGGCCAGGATCCCTGCATGAAGCTAAACATATTTCCACATACTGGGGTTTCACTGACACAGCACAACACCCTAAATTCTCTAGTGGCACCTCCAGAAATAATCCAGGGGTTGAATACTGTTTGGTCACCTGTTAGATGCCTTGGTGCCTCTGCTGTATCTTTAAAACCCTTTATCATTCAGGGCATCACTATCCATGCCCGTCAGTCATCTTACTGCTAATTCCAAGGCACATCAGCATGCTGTCACTTTCTGTGATTCACATTGTGTGGAGGGCACAGGGGACGTTGGCACATGTGTACTGGTTTTCTCCAGTAGGGTAAATGTCATCTGTGGCCTGGCCCAAGGCAGTGGGTATCTTTTCATTGTTTTTCCTGGGTTTGGGTGGCTATGGATAATAGGTATCTTTCGTAGTTTATAGTTGTTAGTTAATTGTGCCACCCTGGCCGATAATCACGTGGGGCTAATTGAAAGGCGAAGGGATAAATGGGTGGTGAGCCTCACCTTTCTAGTTCTTGGGTCTCTTGCTTTGTGATGGTCACACCAGGGTGCAGCTGCCTTAGCAGTTCCCTGCTTAAGCTTGCAAGATTGACTTCATTCAAGAAATCCCAAAGGAGAAGCCACATGGACCTATCCCGATGCAGCCCTGGGTGCTGGAGCAGCTGTGTGGAGACCCCTGCTAGTGCTGAGATGCTTATTCGTTCACTGACTCAGCTTTCCTCCTGCAGTCGGCATCATTGCCTCTGTTTTGTGAGGTGGAGGACTTTGTGGACTGGTGTTGGGTTAATGGGTTAATGTTGGACTTGTGGGCTTGGGTAGCATTGGGTTGGGATGTTTTCGTGATGCACACTTTCTTTACATAAAACTCTCATACATGAGTTGCTGTGGATTTGTTTCTCTAAAGTACCTAGACTAATACAATAGTTTATTTTTGTTTTTAACTTTTTTATTATGAATTCGGTGAAGGGTTACAGAGCAAATCCATTTTTGATTCAACAAAGTTGTATGGATTTTTTTTGTAACATCCCTTCATTGCTTTTGTTCTGTTAAATTAATAATAACTTCTGAATTTTGTACAAAATGATAACAGTTTTTTTCAAGGATAGTATCATAGTATTTCAGAAATACTGGCTTATTTCAAAAATACTGTGTCTAAAACTGTTGCACTGTGGGAAAATGATTTTGTTGATCAGTCCTCTGATTGACAGATAATTAGTACCTGCTAAAGCCTCCCATGTATTAGAATTATTATTTATATGAAAATTAAAGATTTAAATTAGAAGAAAATATAAATTCATTTTTATTCTGGATGTCTTAGTTAGAATTTCATAAGTCAGATTAAAAACTCTTCTTAAATGTAATGATTTTTCTCCCTTAAAAGCAATAAGAAAAAACTCACCAAGAATAAAAGTTAAATGATAAGCTAGTGGAGAGAAAAAGAAAAAAAAGAAACCTCTGTTACATACGGTACAAGATAAGGACACATATGATTTTTAACTGAAATCTTTCATATTAGTTTTATTTGTGTTTTATGTTTATATATAATTTTATAAACATTCTAGAAAAAATATATTAGATCTGCTGATAATAGCATTAACTTCTTAACTGTGAATTCTTAGGCCAAAGAAAGTGAGGGGTATAACAATTAGGATGTTAGCTATAGCCCCATGAAATTTCAGAGAGAGCCTTTATAAGAAACTACTGGGGCTTGTCAAGAGTAATCCTTTTCTTTAGCAGACGAATGACCAAGACTATGGTACGTACTGAAAATTCCAAAAGAGCCCACTTCCCTACTGAATATTAATGTTTTGCAAAATAAGAGGCAATAGCATATGGTAGCCTGTTCTATATCAATGTTCCATTCTCATGAAAGTTCCCTATGTTCCTTTAATGATTACATACTAAATCACGAGGCGTTCTGCTCCTGCAAAGAGTTACAGGGAATACTGCACGTTTTAAAATTAGGAAAGATGTGTGTCAGGATTGTATCTTCTCACCATACTTATCCAACCTGTATGCTGAGTAAATAATCAGAAGAATCCGGCATCAGGATTGGAAGAAGGCTTATTAACAACCTGACATGCAGATGACAACTTTGCTAGTTGGAAGTGACGAGGACTTGAAGCACTTGCTAATGAAGATCAAGGATTGCAGCCTTCAGTATGGATTATAACTCAGTGTAAAGAAAACCAAATCCTCAACTGGACCACTAGGTAATACCATGATAAATGGGGGAAATTGAAATTGTCAAGGGATTTTGTCTTGTTTGGATCTACAATCAGTACTCATGGAAGCAGCAGTTAAGAGATCAAAGGGTGCATTGCGCTGGGTAAATCTGCTGCACAAGACCTCTTTAAAGTGTTAAAAAGCGAGGATGTTTTTCATGATGTTACTTTGAGCAGTTAGATGCATCTCTGACCCAAGTCATGGTATTTTCAATTCTTCAGAATGATGAGGTGACTTACCTACAACATTTAGTGAATGATCTTTCCTCCATTTAATTAAACATCACTTATATTCTTAATAACTTTCTGTGTGTGTGTGTGTGTGTGTATACACCTCAAAACTCATTCACTAATTAATAAAAAGGGTTCCTAAAATTTTTAATTAAAAGATAGTGGAATTTTTTCAGTTTTTAAAACTCTTCTTGTATATTTCGAGGCTCTGATAGACTGATTTATTCTCCTGGGGGCAACTGCTTTCAACTGCTAAGCTTGCAGTTAGCAACCCAGTGCATGTCCCATTATGCCACCATGACTCCTATAGTGTTTAAATTAGAGGAGTTTTAATCTTACTATCAAGCAAGATAAATCTCTACTTGGGTATTTTTGAAACTTCTCTAATTCTTGCACAATTTGTTTTTCCATATGAACTTTACAATTACTATATCATTTTATATTAGATGAATAGACCTTTTAGGATAGTACATCTTCCTCTCCAGGAATTTGGCATGAGTTTCTGTTTTCTCAGCTCTTGTTAAGACTTCTGGCTATAACTTTTATTTTTTCTTAAGTTTCTAAGTATTTAAGAATTTTAAACATTTTTAAATAGTATAAAATTTTTATACTAAATGGGTAAACATTTCATTTAGGGTGTAAAAGAATGAGGTATTGTAATTAATTTAATACTGTTTAATTAATAGTTGCCAAATTACCAGTTTCTGCCAAAAATTAAAATAAGGTGAAAAGCTTGTGTAAGCACATTTTTCTCTTGTTTTTAGAATGGATTTTAAGATCTTTTAGGTTTTGTCATCGGGAGGTGCCAGGTTGAAAAGGACTTCACTGCAGCACCTAACAGATAAAGGACAAAAAATTATAAGCTTTGTCTCTGCATGGGACACCTACATAGTTGACTGGATTCTGAATAGTAAACAGCTTCCTGAATGACTTTCTAGGTTCTTAAAAATCGTATTTTGTTCAAAGGTTGCTACAACTATAAGTACAAGACAGGAAGACAACCCAATAGATGAATGTATTAAAGAAGATTCTCTTATGGAAAAACTGCAGCCTGAAATGTATGTCTTGTGTACACTTAAATTTTAGTATTTCGAAGAAAGAATAATTTTACTGATAAAAATCTCACTCTTAGATATGTGATTGTAACCCATTTTCTTACAAAGTGATCGATCTTTTTTTAATTAAGAGATCATTTTTATTGGGGCTCTTACAGCTCTTAAACAATACATACATCAGTTGTATCAAGCATATTTTTACATATGTTGCCGTCATCATTTTCTAAACATTTATATTTCCTTGGTATCAGCTCCTGTTTTCCCCTCCCTCCCCTCTCCCACCCTAGTGACCTCTTGATAAATTATGTTATTATTTTCATATCTTACACTAGCTGCTGGCTCCCTTCCCCCACTATTCCCATTCCTGTTCCTAGATTCCCTGTGTCCTGAGATCTTATCTACAGAGTGCTCTTTAAGTTCAATAATTTGTCTTAGTTGTCAAGGTAACACAGATTCCCAACTCCTTAAGAAGCAGATTTCGTTTGCATTTATCTAGCTATTTTTAAAGAACTTTTTCTTGTGAATTACCTGAGGGTTTACAGAGCAAATCCATCTTCCACCCAGCAATCTGTGCACATTTTGTGTCATAGCTTTGATTGCAACCACACAAGGCAACATCCCTTATCCCACTTCCTCCTCGTTTTCCTATTTCTATTCCTCCTTTCCTAACTCTTCTGAACTTTGTCCTTGAGTAAGTGCTGCCCTTTTGATCCCAAATGCCTTATTCTAAGGTGTTCCTACTTCACAAGTGTTATTGTTTCCCCTATAAACTTTTTTACTGCTTGACTGAAAATTGAGCCCTGAGAGTAAGTTCATTTACAGACCTAAAGGATGACCAGGGACATAGTCTCAGGAATACTACCAGTCTCTTTCAGACCAGTAAGCCTGGTCTTTTTATATATTTTTTTATGAATTTGGGATTTGTTTAAAATATCTCTCCCACTCTATTCAGAACTTCATAAAAACCTACTAAAGCAATTGGTAACAGTAGCTTGGCACCATCCAGTTCTTCTGGACTGCATGTAAACTGATACTCACAGGAGTCCATTTTCTTCACTCTCCCCTCCTCCAGGCAGGGAGAGACCAATAGTTGCACCTTAGATGGTTGGTCACAAGCTTTTAGAATCCAGTCACTACTCCCTGGAAGTAAGATTGAGAACATTGTCTTCGTGAACTGTATTATGTCAGTTGGCCTTGTGTCCCCAAGGTCGTAGTTCTGAGCCCCTAGCTCCAGCAAGTTTGTCTTTATTTAAAATGCAAAAAGGAATACAAAGATTATCACACCAAGATAAGCAAAGCTGAGGTGACATAATTAGCAAAAATTAATAGTGTTGGAAGAGAGGTAGCTTTGGAGGAAATTTTTAAGAACTATTTTTCTCAGTGGAGGATATTGGTAAGAGTTGTCTTGGCAATATTATAATAGGAAAAGTAATCACTTTAAAGTGGTTTTATTTCTCCCAGTTCTTCCTTAAGACTTTGCACATGTATTTATCATTGTTCTTTTTAAATGAGTAATAAAGAGGTTTTCTCTTGTTATTATTTTAAAACAAACCTCAGCTAGAGTCAAGCTACCTGTGTTTGGGGGTGTTTTATTCCACTGTGAATCTGACATATTTTCATTAGGTGCCTTCTAGCTGTTTCCCAACTACAAGACTCTTGTACAACAGAAGGAAGCACTGCCTGGTGGTGTACCATCCTTCCAATTGTTCCTGTGTTTGAGTCCATCTTTTTCTGTGATCCTTACTTTACCTGTATAATGTATTTCTCCTGGTGGGACTTGTCCTCTTGATAACATTTCCCAAGTATTTGAGTTGAAGTCTTGTGATTCTGGCTTTTAAGGAGCGTTCTGGCTGTGTGTTTCTCTTTATGGCTGAGTAATATTCTATGGTGTGTGTGTGTACACACACGACTGTTAGGTATATTTTGTTTATCCATTCATCTGTGGGTGGGCACTTAGGCTGTTTCCATCTTTTAGCTGTAGTGAATAATGCTACCAGGAACATTGGTGCACATCTGCCTTGTGCATCTGCTTCTTTTAGGTATGTACTTAAAATTGCTGACTTATATAATAATGCTTTATTTAACTTTTTGAGCCTGTTTTGAGTCAGTTTTTCACAGTGGCTCTGCCATTTTACAATTCTACCCGAAATGATTAAGGGTTCCTCTGTCCACATTTTCACCAACACCAGTTATTTTCCTTTTTTATATCTTAGCCATCTTAACTAAAGCAACTCCACTGTTGTTAAGTAGTTTCCAACTCTTATCAACCCTGTACGATAAAGTAGAACTGCACTATAGAACGACTCCTCCATCGAAGGCTTTTACAGAACACGACAGCCTCACCTCTGTCCTATGGAAGCACCTGGTGGATTCGACCACCAACCTTTTTGGATAGCAGCCCAACCCTTAATCCAGTGAGACACTAGGACTGGGAGTGAAATTTGTTCCAAATTAACATCTTATTGCAAATGTTTTAATTTGCATTTTACAAATGACTAATGATGTCCAAGTACCTTTTCATGTACTTACTGGCCATTTGTATTTCTTTGATGAAATGTCCAAGTCCTTTTGCCCATGTTTTGATTAGATGATTTCTCTTTTAAGTTGTAGTTCTTTATATAGTCTGGATATTAAACATCTATCTCAAGTATGGGTCCCCAAATTAATAGGTCACCTTTTCCCTTTGCTTATAAAGTCTCTTGAGCAAGTTTTTAGTTTTGATAAGGAAGGTCCCTATATTTATTTCACTCTTTTCCCCAGAAACTACTAGAGAGCTGCATGAAATTTTCTTGACTTTTTTAAAACACAGAGCAGATTATATCAGATTGTACTCTTGTCTCTATGTCCAATATCTAATAGAGTTGCAAAGTAGAATTTCACTTCCAGTAGTAGGTGAATCTCTGAACAAGAAAGAACAGAAATTTGTTCCAATTAAATTCTGCATGTCAAATATACTTACTGGAGAAACTCTCTAAGTGACATTTGATTTTAAAACAGTTGTGTATGATGCAAAAGAGGGGAGTTGGAGTGGAGACCCAAAGCCCATCTGTGGGCAATTGGACATCCAATTGTTACAAGGAAGGGATGATTTCAACCAGAGTGCAGTATAGCACTGACAAAACACACATTATTCTTCTAGTTCCTGAATATTTCCTCTCCCCTCTCCCCCCAATACCATGACCCAGTTCTACCTTACAGATCCAGCTAGACCAGAATACACACATTGGTACAGGTAAGAGCTCTGACACTTGGAATCCAGGACAGATAAAACCCTCAAGAACAGTAGTGGGAGTAGTGATATCATGAGGGTAGGGGGATGGGGGGGACCTATCACAAGGTTGTGTATATATAGCCCCCCCAAGGGAAATGAATAACAAGAAATGTGAGTGAAGAGAGACAACGGACAGTCTTAAGACATGAAATAATTATGTCTAATTGATCAAACATTTAATTAATTCACCCCTAATGTGATGGCTGGAACTGATGGTCTTTGGTGAGGTGTGTGATGTTAGCTGGTGTTGGTGATTTCGTGGGCATTAAACAGCCTGTGGGCTGGACATTTCCGATCCCTAGTATAAAGAAATACTTGATCTAATACTTCTCTTTATAAAAGTGACATTCAGACATCACAGTTTCTTCTATCAAGCATAATATACTTATTTAGCAAATACTGTTTACCTAAGGCAGGGGTCCTCAAACTATGGTCCTCGCCCCACATGCGACCCGCCGAGGACATTATCTGGCCCGTTGGGCGTTTTTCCCCCTGTTGTTTTTTACTTCAAAATAAGGTGTGTGCAGTGTGTACATAGGAATTTGCTCGTAGTTTTTTTAAAACTGTAGTCCAGCCCGCCAACGGGTCTGAGGGACAGTGAACTGGACGCCTGTTTAAAAAGTTTGAGGACCCCTGACCTAAGGGGCCTGCCTAGGTGGTACACTGAGTTAACCAGAAAGTTAACAATTCAAATTCACCTGCCCATCAGGGGTGTAAGGTGAGGGAGTTTGCTTCTGTAAACATTTACAGTCTTGGAAATCCTATGGAGCAGTTCGGCTGTGTCTTACAGGGCCACTATGAGTTGGGATCGACTGGAGTGTGATGGGTTGGGAAATATTTAATGTGTGTGAGGCAATATGAAGGAACCTTGGTAGCACAGTGGTTTAATTATTGGGTTGCTAACTACAGAGTTGATAGTTCAAACCCACTAGCTGCACCGAGTGAGGACTGTGAAGCTATTCCCTTAAAGATTTAAAATCTTGGAAACCCTAGATAGCAATCCTCTGTCCTTTAATGTTGCTAAGAGTCATAATTGACTTGATAGCAGTTAGTGTAGCCAGTGTGAAGATATAAAGATAAGATGGGCAAAAAATTTGGGCCTTTTGTAGGCAAGAGAAATGCAACTAATATTTTCTTTGCAATTAATGTTTGCCTAGTTAAGTTCATTATTTTTTAATGATCCGTACTTACGCATTTTATGCATATACTTTTCTAGTTCTGTTTGTATGTATATTTCATTATTTTAATTGATGACCTTATGATATTTAGTAATGAGCTTAAAAGTATGTAAATTATTTTCATTGATAAGCTTAAGATGTTTTAATGATTAGCAACATCTCTACCAAAGGATATCAAACAAGACTGAGTGATTTAAAAATTAAAACAGTATTTATATTTGAAGCTAATATTTTTAGGACTTTGCTAAAAAGTTGAATTTTTGGTTAAAGTTATGTTTTATATGAAAAGTGTACTCTGAAAAGTTCATTCATGAAATCGCTCTCCATGTATGGTTAATATTGAAAACCCATTACACATGACTATTTTTTAACAGTAAAAGTCACAATAGAATGTTAAAATATTAATGTTAAAAAAGATTGTCAGTATTTAAAATGATGTACTCGGCATTTTTCAGGACAAAAAATTGTTCTCAGGATTTTAAAAAGACTGTCAGTCAGCCAACTATTGGTTTAGAAAATTCAGCCTCCACACACAGGACTGTTTTGAGCTCATCATCTGTCATGGCGGTATGGAAAATATTGTTCACGAAGCTAAACATTTTGACTTTGTTTCTGATAGCTTAACTTTTGCCCTCTGTTATGTTTCTCTTACTGATTCTCTGGTACGTTTAAAGCTAACATTGATAAATTCATTTTTGTTACTTGGATTTCATTTGGTTCTGTATTTGAACAATTTTCTCTTCATTCCAACTATTACCAACCCTTTGTCAGGAGATTCTTGATATATGCTGTTGTTAGTTAGTTAGATACTGTTGAGTTGATTCCACTTCATGGTGACCCCATGAGTGTAGAGGACAGTTGCTTCGTAGGGTTTGGACAAGCCAATAGCCCTGTATGTAATTTCTCCCCTTTGAACCTCGTTAGTAATTCCAGATTTCATAGAAAAACATAGGAAGTACATGATTCTAAGTAATAAGTGTGGTTTTCCAATGATTTTAGTTGGAGACCAAAAGCACTAACTGCATTTGTTGTTTTTGTTCTTGAAGGGTTGAGTTTTACTGTGACCAGTTCTGTTATCTTTAATTAATGTACTGTTTTCAGTTGGGGTTTGAAACAGACTCCAAAATGTAGATGAATGAAGTTTTAAGTCTTTAAGGTTGGTCCCTAGTGGGCTGGAGGGGGGGCGGTGGACGTTGGGGTTATAGAATGCTTAATTAACTTCATATCTTTTGTTTCAAGTTAACATTTTAACATAACCGAATTAGCATCTTTTTATTAATATCTGTTTTAATTTGTCAAATTATATTTATTGCCATGGTAAATTAAGATAGTTTTAAGTTGAAAACAATGAGTTTTTTCTCATTTTTAAAAAGAGATCTTTATAAAGTTATCTAGGATGCTATCACCAAAGCTCTAAAATGTTAAATGGCTCTATCTCTGGGCAAACAGGATTAAAAGTGTTATTTTTGTTCTTGCTTGTGTTCAGATTTTTGTGTTGGGGCTCTGTTGCTTTTATAAAAAAATATTTTTAAAGGTAGCTTGACAGTTTCACATATGTATATACTGTGTATCCCAACGTCTACTTTTATGTTTGTGTGTGATTCCATCCCTCTCTAGGAGTCTAAGACTACGGAAGAAATTGATGATGCATTGACGGTAGCAGGTTATAATTTTGAACAATTAAGTACTGCTGTAAAAGTAAGCATTTTGAGTGATCAAATTCTATCAATGTGTTACGTGGTTTGTTTGTTTGTTTGTTTACATGAAATAACACATTTTTTAAATATGCATTTTGGGGTTATCATTGAGGTTAGAGCTTAACACTTGAGTTATTAAAATGTAGCATGATAATTACATGATAGAGAGCATGCAAAAGAATCAAAACGTTTCCTGTGGCCTGCCAGGATTGATCTTGCAGCATTGCTGTGCTGGCAACCTAATGAAATTTCAATTACATGTATTAAGGAGTCATGATTTCTAGTAGTTGCCATGAGGTTTCAGAAGTACTGTAGATCATTTCAAAATTAGCTCATTATTTAGCTATATATGTTTACTTGGAGAGTCTTACTCTCTTTTCTCTCTACCCAGTTGCCCCATAAGAGTCTTATTTGATGACAATGAAGAAATTTCTAAGTATCCAACAATGACAAGTATACTATAACTCCTTTTTGCTGTGAAGGACAGACCTTGGCTGTAATGGACTGTAGAAAGTCAGATTTCTTGAGGAATAAGAAATCTGAGCAAAGTAACCAACTAGAAGAGTAACAAAAGAAAAAAAATAAGTATTGAGGAAAGAGGGCCAAAAAGAACATCACCTGTGCTGGGAATCAGTAAAAAGAAAAGACGTGGCAGCATAGTCTAGAAAGCACGGCAGAGAGAAACACAAATCTCTGGATTGAGGGCCTGTTGTCGAGGCTAACAGAACCCGCCTGGATTGTCCAATACATGTGGCTTGACATTTATGTGCATAAAAATCAAAACACTTAACAAATTCTATCCACAGTCACACAGTATTCCAAGTACATAGTAGCTAAGGGCTATGATTATACTCAGGGCATTTCTTTTATCCCAGATATTTTTATTAGACAGCCCTGGCTTAATCCTCAATATTCTCTAAGAGCATAAATATGTCAGTAGCTATAGACATCTATTGTAATTACTCCATTGATTATCCTCTATTCTCTGCTTATGTTGTTATTTTGAAAAGTATATGAAGTACCTTTTTATTTCCAGAATTATATTGAACAGTAAAACTTGAACAAAATACAAATACAAAATGAGGTCTACATATTAATGGGTTTTTTTTCCAGATGCTTAAGCATATGCATAATCAAGCAAAAGAGGAGACAGACAGTCTTATAGAGATTCTTGAGAAACAATTTGATCAACTTTTTGCTTCGCTTCATTCCAGGTAATAATTTGAAAATATACTCGGTACAACTGAAAAATTTAACAGTTATCTTATTATATCTTTGATTAGGTTGAAGTTAGTGAGTGATTTTTGAACAGATTTGGAAGGAGTGATTTTTAAATTTGAAAATGAAGAAAAAATTACTACGTTGGACAAATTTTGGCTATTTACCTTCTGGGCCCAATGCCAACTGTTAAACTTCTTACTAAAGCCAGTGAGCACCACCTTTCCAACACTATCAGTGAAGACAAATGGGTGCATAAGCAAATGTGGTGTCTGTCTATCAAAAGATACAGTGCTTGGGGTCTTAAAGGCTTGAAGATAAACAAGCGGCCATCTAGCTAGGAAACAACAAAGACCACAAGGAAGAAGTACACCAGCCTGTGCGATCATCAGGTGTCAAGGGGATCAGGTATCGGGCAGATACAAGACCCAGAACAAAAAATTGTCAATGTGAATGGGGGGGTGGGGGAGTGCGGAGTGGAGGCCCAAAGCCAATCTGTAGGCAATTGGACATCCCCTTTCGAAGGGTCGCGGGGAGAAGATGGGCCAGTCAGGGTGCAGTGTAGCACTGATGAAACATACACTTTTCCTCTGGTTCTTTAATGTTCCTCACCCCCACTATCATGACCCTAATTCTACCTTACAAATCTGGTTAGACCAGAGCATGTACATGGGTACAGATAAGAACTGGAAACACAGGGGAAAAGGACAGATAAGCTCTGTGGGACCAAAATTGAGAGTAGTCATACCAGGAGGGGAAGGGGAAGGTAGGGAGAGAAAGAGGAAACCAATCACAATCACCTACCTATAACCCCCTCCAAGGGGGATGGACAACAGATAAAGGGGTAAAAGGAGACATTAGACAGTACAAGACATGGAATAATTTATAAATTATGAAGGATTCATGAGGGAAAGAGGGAGGGAGAGAAGTTGGGGGGGAAATGAGCTGATACCAAGGTCTCAAGTAGAATGCAAATGTTTTGAAAATGATGGCAACAAATGTGCTTGACACAATGGATGTGTGTATGGATTGTTATAAGAGTTGTACGAGCCCCCAATAAAATGATTTTAAAAAGATCCAAAACACAAATATTTTCAAAATCTAAATACCTGTTGTGGAAATTTACATACTTAAGAAATGGCAAGCATCATTTTTCTTTCTACTTCATTCTCTCATATGTTCATTTGCATCAGAGTAAAATAATTCTTTTATAGTTTTCACTTAACATATATTACTTAGTAGTTTTGTATGCATAATGTTTTTAAAAGCTCTTTCATACTTAGGATCTTGAATTCATTAGTCACATTGGGGACAAAGTATGTGTTCTTCTCTCCATTTTACATTTCAAGAAACGGGCTCCTGAAAGATGTGGTATACCTCAAAGAGTATACCCAGTAGTTTTTTAAATCATTTTATTGGGGGCTCGTACAGCTCTTACCACAATCCATACATACATCTATTGTGTCAAGCATATTTGTACATTTGTTGCCATCATTCTCAAAACATTTTCTTTCTACTTGAGTCCTTAGTATCAGCTCCTAATTTTTCCCATCCCTCACCCACCCTCCCTCCTTCATGAACACTTGATAATTTATAAATTATTATTATTTTGTCATGTCTTACACTGTCCGATGTCTCCCTTCACCCACTTTTCTGTTGTCCGTCCCCTAGGAAGGAGGTGATATGTAGTTCATTGTGATAAGTTCCCCTTATCTCCCCCACTTCATCTTACCCTCCTGGTATTTCTACTCTCATTATTGGTACTGAGGGGTTCATCTGTCCTGTATTCCCTGTGTTTCCACCTCTGATCTGTACCAGTGTATATCCTCTAGTATAGCCAGATTTGTAAGGTAGAATTGGGATCATGATAGTGGTGGGGAGGAAGCATTAAAGAACTAGAGAAAAGGTGTATGTTTCATAGTTGCTATCCTGCACTCCGACTGGCTCATCTCCTCCCTGTGACCCTTCTGTAAGGGGATGTCCAGTTGCCTACAGTTGGGCTTTGGGTCTCCACTCCGCACTCCCCCTCATTCACAATGATAATGATTTTTTGTTCTTTGATGCTTGACCTGATCCCTTTGACACCTCGTGATCACACAGGCTGGTGTGCTTCTTCCATGTGGGCTTTGTTGCTTCTCAGCTCGGTGGCCGCTTGTTTATCTTCAAGCCTTTACGATCCCAGATGCTATGTCTTGATAGCCGGGCACCATCAGCTTTCTTCACCACATTTGTTAATGCACCCATTGGTCTTCAGTGATTGTGTCAGGAGGGTGAGCATCATGGAATGCCAATTTAATAGAACAAAGTGTTCTTGCATTGAGGAAATACTTGAGTAGAGGTCCAATGTCCATCTGCTACCTTAATACTAAACCTATAAGTATATGCACATGAATATATTTCCCCATCATCATTATATTTACATATGTACATGCCTGTATTTAGACCTCTATAAATGCCCTTTGCCTCCTAGTTCCTTCTATTTCCTTTTACTTTCCTCTTGTCCCACTATCATGTTCAGCCTTCATTTGGGTTTCATTCATTCCTCTTGGTTACATTGCCCTGATCAAACCCTACCAGGCCTCCTGCACCCTCCTAGACATCGATTTTAGAACACTTGTTGGTCCCTTGTCCCTGAGTTTGTTAACACCCACTTCCTTTTCCCCATCTCCCTCTCTCCCATGTCCCCCCATAACCGTTGGTCCATTGTTTTCTCTTCAAGATTGTTTATCCTGCCTATCTTATCTAGATAGACCTGCAGAGATAATAATATGCACACAAAAAAAGGCAGAGCCAAACAAAGCAAACAAAAGAAAACAAAACAGCAAAAAACCAACGACAGAAAAATGAAAAGTCTGTAATAGTTCAAGTTCTGTTTGTTGACCTTTATGAGTGTTTGCAGGTTGAGTCTGATGAGGTGCCAAGCCCTGGCCCTAAAGTCTGTTTTTGGTATTCCCTGGGGACTTCGTTCCTCAGTTCCCCTTGCTGTTCTGTTGCACACCCTTAGTGTTTTGCCTCAGTGTGGTACGGTCAGATCAGGCACAATTCCCACACTGTGTCTCCAGTGTTGTCCTCCGTAGAGCTATGGGTCAATGAGGGATGTCGTGTCGTAGTGGGGCCAGCCCTATGGTCCTTAACTGTGCTTTGGCTGCTCTGAATGCAAATATCATCCTCAGAGCTTGGTGGACCAGAATGTGTTCCACTCTCTCTTTCTCTCCATTTGCTCCTGTATGCTCTGCTTAAACGTGTCCCTCTCCCTGACCTGTAGCTTCAGTGCTGTCTTCTGAAGCATACTTAGTCATTATACCTGTCCATTAACTCTTAGATCATTGAAACACAATCTCATTAGGATGCTTGAAACCATAGACTCAATTTAGTATGCAAGAATTTGTATACTTTATTCGTCTTTGGTGGCCATATGTCCCCTTTATTCTTTAAATGTGACATTTAAGAGATCATATATATGAGTTTTTTTAGGACCTATAGAAGAACTTATTGAAATGACCATTTTCCCCCTAAAGAAAATGGTCTGTGAGACATCATAAATAACAGCTACTAAAAGGTTTAGGCATCCTTCTTAACCTGTAAAGCCCATGTCTGATTTTTTTAAATTCTTTATATTGGAAAAATTTTTTTTCAGTCAATGGATTTATTTTAGGGATATAATGAAAAGTTATGCACAACTTAGTTTGATGAATGAAATGAGTGAATGAGTTAGGTACCACCTTTGTAATTAGGCACATGTTTTTTTCATAATTCAAAACACCATAGTACAGAAGAGGTTTTGAGTAATTAGGTACAAGTAATGAGATAACATTATTTAGCCTTCCGAAATGATTACATTGAAAGTTTGTAGTTAATTAGTATATAAGTTCTATTGTTGATATCTGCTTTGAAATTTTGGTTATGTAATATGTATGTGTAGTGGGAATTTAAAAACATACAGGTAGATCCTTGTTAGTTATACAGATGTCTTTCTAAGGACATGAGTAACTCCAAGATAGGTAACCAGTTATTTTTCTTATTGTTAAGTGGAATGACATAGGGCCTCTTTTACCTCTGTAATTCTGTGACAGCTATATTTAGGCTATGGTAACTATCCTTTTATGAAGTTTACTTTTTTTCCCCACATAGACATGCTTAGATTTTGAACTATAATAAATTTTAGTTCAACTTGATGCTTCATTTAACCATGTTACATGTTATTTAAGTACATCAGCTACTGGCATTACCATCTTCGATACTGTTCAGAAGTATAAATTCACTTGGATAAAACTTTATTAAATACTGAAAATTAATTTTGGTGTCTTAAAGGAAAAAGAGTCTGTGCGAAGAAGTTGTGAGAAATACAGATGATTACTTCTCATATGTAGTAATGACTAAAGATTACGTTGAAGAAAAAAAAAATTATTTGGATGCAGCCATGAAGATAGCCAGAGAATTGAAATCTGCACCTTCTCTAAGGACATATTGTGATCTGAGTCAGGTACAGCATTTTCATGGTATTTAAGACTTAACCCAGAAGAATTTATTCTTTGGATTACCTTGCTTTTAGCATTAGTGTAGAATTCCTAGGTGTTTGCATTTCAAGACAGATGTTAACTTTGTTTAGCCTTTTATTATTTACTACTTTAAGAAATGGTGTGGTAAAGCCTTTACAATGCAGGACTTTGAGGATAGGTAGGAAGACATTGAGTTGAAAGTTGATGCTACTCACTCTGCCATTGGACCGATTCCAACTCACAGCAACCCTGTAGGACAGAGTAGTACTGTCTCTCTGAGTTTCTGAGATTGTAACTCTTGATAGGAGAAGAAAGCCTCCTCTTCTCCTTCTGATGCTCCTAGGACATATGAATGAAAACTGAGACAAGTAAGAATAGTAAACTAAATGAGATGCTATGTTTTCTCATAATCATTTTAGATAAGACTTTTAACCATTGACTTAAAAAATTAAGTCACTCATGCTTTATTCTTCTCCCTCTATTCCCTCCCATCCAACCCCCAAACTGCAGGTCTAAAGAGAACGTACTTTAGCTCTCTCTTATCATCTAATTTCATACCTAGAGGATCAAAACAAAATCCATTGTCATTGGGTTCATTCTATAAAAGGTCCAAGCTGACCTTTTATAGAGTTTCTGAGTCTATATAGACAGACAGCCTCAGCTTTCTCCCTCAGAGTGCCTGGTGGGTTTGAACCTTACTTAACCAGCAGCATCACCAGGGCTCCTTATATAGAGGATAAACTCACTGCCCTCAAGTTAGCTTCAACTCATATCAACCCTCTAGGGCAGCGGTTCTCAAACCTGTGGGTTGCAGCTCCTTTGAGGGTTGGACAACCCATTCACAGGGGTTGTCCAATTCACAACAGTAGCAAAATTACAGTTATGAAGTAGCAATGAAAATAATTTTATGGTTGGGGGGTCACCACAACATGAGGAACTGTATTGAAGGGTCATGGCATTAGGAAGGTTGAGAACCACTCCTCTAGGGGCTAGAGTTGGTTAAAAAAAAAAGAAGTATCCTATTAGATAGGAGAGGGTTAGCCTTGGATCCTTTCTTGTTCATTTCAACTTGGTGCCCTATGGCTATAGATCTTGCTTTACTCACTTTTATGTCCTTAATACCTTGATATTTTTACTGAACTCTGAGGTATAGAATAGAAGCCCTTGGTTTATCTGACTCCAGAGTCTGTCATTTTAAATGAGAGTTCACTACCATTACATTTGGCAGTTCTAAAAGCAGTAATAGTCATTTTCTGTGTTACGCATTAGGCACTACACGGCTAAAATAAACAGTCTTAAGATTTGGTCTTTATCTTACTAAATCCTATTTAGAAAGACAATGGGGAAAGAATAAGAGAATATTTGAAGATAACACGGAAGGTACAAAATGAGTAAAATGTTTCATTTCTCTGTGATATATAATTTCATATATATAATTTCATTATACATTCATTAGCTACATGTCCCTTTTTTGGGGGGTCGTTGTTATATATTACTAAATATCTCCAAATATTCTGAACTCTTTAAGGGAAAAGTAATCATATATTATTTCTATTCCTTTGAAGGCCCCAAAGTTAAACCTTAAACATATTCAAACTCATAAAAACAATCAAACATATTAAGTGACATAACAAAACATTTGTAACACCCTTTATAAAAGCATACTGTTTTAGCAGTTTTATGACAATAGAAAATTCACACATGAATGACATTACTCTCTTGATTCCAGATTATCCGAACTTTGAAATTATCATATGAGAGTGAATTGTCAGAAGTGGCCTCTCTAAAATTAAGGCGTTTTCCCAGGTGAGTAAATTATAATTTAAGAAAACCTAACAATTTAAGTATAAAAATGTATTACAGCCTGAATTTCTTAAAATAGAAAGCAAGTAAATATCAAAAGTTTGGGTCCCTAATAATTCCCAAATTAGCAGCCAAATAATTTAAGTGTAATTTATGTTCCACCACTTGTCTGCCAGTTTGTCGTACTGCGGTGACTTGTGTGTTGCTGTGATGTTGGAAGCTGTGTCACTGGTATTTCAGATTTGAAGTTGAAGTTGTCAAGGATTTGTCTTACTTGGAACCACAATCAATGTTCATAGAAGCAGCAGTCAAGAGATCAAAAGATGTATTGCATTAGGTAAATCTTTCTCTAGAGTATTGAAGAGCAAGGATGTTACTTTAAGGACTTAGATGTGCGTGCCAGACCAAAGCCATGGTATCCTCCATTGCATCAAATGCATGTGAAAGTTGGACATTGAATGAAGAAGACCATAGAAGAATAGATATATTTTTATTGGGTGTTGGAGAAGAATATTGAAAGTACCATAAACTGCTAAAAGGGCAAACAGATCTTTATTGGAAGAAGTAAGACCAGAGTGCTTCTTAGAGGCAAGAATGGCAAGAATTCATACTCAATGTATTGTCAGGAGAGATGAGTCCCTGGAGAGAAGGACATCATGTTGGTAAAGTGGAAGGACTTTGACAAGAGGGATTGACACAGTGGCGGTATCTATGGGCTCAGGCATAGGAACAATTGTGAGGATGGCACAGGACCATGCAGTGGTTAGTTCTGTTGGGCATAGGGTCACTATGGGTCAGAGCTGACTCAGTGGCACCAAGAGCAATAATAATATGTTGTAGAGTTAATGTTCTTTTAAATTAGAGTGATTTTAGTGTCAGCAACTCATTTTTACCTGAAGAAAGTAATGAACTTTGAAACATTTACTTACATACTAATATTTTATTCCAGGTTGAATATAAACTGCAGTGAGATCACCTATATGTTCAACAATATTGGGAAAATTGAATTTGAGGACTCAACAAAGTAAGTACTTATAAAATTGGAAACCTGCTTGATCAAATAGTGTCTGGTAGGGCTTAAGTTATCTAACAGACAGAAAATTATTTTTTAGCATAGTATGATTCAAACAGTTAAAGGATACAACAGTGTCTTATCAGTTTCATCCTGCAAGCAATAGTTAAGATTTAAAAGACCAAGAATAGATCCTTTATTTAATGGCATGTTTGTCTGAGTTACCATGGATATACAGTCATTCAGCAAGCATTGAATGCTGAATTTGTGTTAGGTACCATAATATGTTGAGTTGGGTTGCCTAGAGAACAAATCAAGTGACATTCATATATGTAAAAATCTTTATATCAAGAAGTAACTCAATATCAAGAAAACATCCCAAGCCAGTCCAACTCAAGTCCATATGTCCAGTACTAGTTAGTCCTCCTTCAGACTCTCGCAGCCACAAGCAATGAGACAGAATGTGGGAAATCGCAGTCTGGTGCATGCAAAGTCGTGTGGATCGTTTCCAAAGAAAGAAGCTGGCCTCCAGAGAGCTATATATATACATCTCACCTCCAAATGAGGTCATCAGGCTGCGACTTATTGATAGGCTAAACCCAACCCGTACACTGTTATTATCTTCAAGTTGACATGAAATGATTTAACTACCACACCGTAAGTATTGCATTATATGTTAGAGATCCTTCAACAAGCAGAGGAAGGCAAATGGATATATGATTACTGTGATACCATATGCAGAATACAGTGAAGGTACAAAGGGTGAGAATGGTCAGTTCTTAGGGGAAATAGGTTGAAAAAAATCTTTATAGAAGGAATTTTACATTCCCTTATCCTTGGAAAATGGATAACTATTTAAAAGAAGGGCCAAAAGGAAGCCGATAGCAGAAAAAATTACAGACAGTGAAATAATATACACTGAGGGAACTATGTAGATATTTCTGTATGCTTTGCGATAGAATTTGAACTTCATTTTCTAGACCAGTGCTGTCCAATATTGGGGCTGCTAGCCATACGTAACTATTGAATTGTAAGTATCAGTTAATGAAAGCTTAAATAGAATCAAAATTTCCATTCCCTGTTCACAGTAGCCACGTTTCATGTGCCCGGTAGTCCTATGTGGCTAGTTCCTAGCCTAGTGGATAATGCAGCATATTTTCATCATCAACAGGGTGCTATACTGGACAACAATTCTCTAGAGCAGAATTCTCCAACATGAGCAATAATGGCCCTGGGGGTGCTGGAATGATTTGGGGTGGGGCACTATTAAAGAAGATACCTATATTTCATCATGGATTATGGATTGTAGTATAAAAGTTTTTCAAGGCCAAGGGGGACCGTGAGTCTTTTTTTTTTCTTTTCTTTTCTGAAAATGGGGCCGTAAGCCAGTTAAGTTTGGGAACCTATGCTCTAGAGCAGGGATAAGAACCTTCATCTGCCAGTGCCATCTGGATATTTATAACCTCACTTGTGGGCCATACAAAATTATGAACTTGAAAACTATCCTGCTAGCTTTAGCCAAACATGTAATTACCTAACTCCTAATACAGAGTCAGTATGAGTCAGAATTGACTGGATAACCTTAGTTTGGAATGTGGTGGCTGAAACTGCTGCTCTTTGGTGAGGGATGTGATCACGTTAGCTATTATTGTTGATTTCTGGGGCCTTTTATGGCCTGTGAGCCTGTCTTTCTCCACCCCTGTTTTAGATAGTGGAAAACCACTAAAAAAGTTTGTGAAAAACCACTGAAAGGTTTTAAGCATGAAAGTAAATATAATTGGAAGGCCTTTTAAAAAGACAACTCTGGTGGCTATTTAGAGGATTTTTTAGGGTAAATATGAGACTGGAGGGTGAGTCAAACTCAAAGTCACTCCCATTGAGTCAATTCTGATTAATAGCAACTCATCTCATCAAATGAGGAGAACCTAAATTTAGATAGTAGCTGGAGAGGGCCTAGGAATGGACACTGCAAATGGTAAGTGGGAAAATTTGATAGACCTCGGTGAGATAGAATGAGGAGCAAAGAAGTTATTGGGATCATCACCAATAACTCACAGGACTGGCTTTAGTGATTACATTGATGGATTGGGAATATAGGAAGAAAAAGTTCAAGGGGAAAGATAATAGATATATTGAATTCCAAGTGTTTTCCAGATACTGGGGGAAAATTTTCCAGAGGGTTATATGTGTTGAAAGTCTTCAAGTCATCATGGACTTGATACTGGATGGTTATGGATTCAATCATGGCCCTCAAAAGTGTTTTGTAAATTTGTTGTAAATTCTAATCTTTATGCCTATCATTATAAATCTCATTTGGGAATCGACTGTCCTTATCAAGTTCATAAGATAGTTGGTAAATGTAGGATGTGTCTTAAATCAGTCTCTCTTGAAACAAAAAAGATTAAACAAGCAAGTGAAAGAAGCTGGGATAGGGGAGGAGAGGAAGATGACAAGGCCAGATGAAGATTACACAGGGCAAATATTCCTGTAGAACTGACAGAGGGTCTCTTCTCCTAGAGCAAGCATCCAGAATTCACCCCCTCTGGCCTCCTAAACTGTGGGAAATCGATTTTTTGTTTATGGAATTTCTCTTCGAGCAGTGGTAGATAACTAAGACATGGGCCAAGAATAGTCATAATACAAATGTTGTCCAAACAACTACAAAATTGATGAGATGCTATCTCCCAGAGAAATTGTCCCCAAGAAGTATAGCATCCCTTATCTTGGAGAGCGAATCAGAGTTTTACAGGCCCAGAAATCCATTTGAGCAGATCCATTAAATCAAGTTCAAGTGCTAGTTTACTAACTTCTTGCTGCCGGGTGCAGTCAAGTCAAAGTCAATTCGTAGCAACCCCATGTAACTGAGTGAAACTTCCCAATATACATAGTTCTCTAGCCTGTAATCTTTATAAGAACAAATCACCAGGTTACTGGACAAATACAACTAACCCAGAGGCTAGGGTATTTGTATTGGCATTCTTTTTCAATACACCTAGATATGAGAAGCCAGATTGCCATTTGCCATCTAGTTTGGAATAATGCAAATTTGAATAGTGAAGTGGCTTAACCGCATTAGATCAAGGTAGCCTATCACAAACCTCTCTGTACCACAAGGAAGACCTTACCAGAGAACCAATGTGCTGGCCCTTTGGTTCCTGCCCTTTCAAATGGTGTTGGAACCTTTACTCAGCATTTACTCGTGTGACTTATGTTAATAAATGCCTGATTGCTTCTTGGCCTTTTGGCTAAGATCAAGTGTAATAAGTGCTGACCTCTCAGAAGAGCTAGATTAGTATGTATGCTTTCGGTTATTTTTTTGAATGGCATATTAAACAATGATCTGTGAAGATGCCAAAGTCATCAAGTTATTAAAATGCAAGTTTTATGGTAATCATTCTTTCATAGAATGTGTATACTTATAGATGTTATGGTTTATGAATATCTGGATATGTAGAGAAGATGTTAAAAATGGATTGGGGTGGAATGACTATCAGTGGATTAGGACTTCTTGAATAATCACACCCAACAGGTCATATTAATGATAGTTATTAGCCCAATCATTTTCTAGTGATTTGTTCAGGATTGTACTCTTGACTGAATTAAAAAAGAAATAATATAATTTGTACAAATCGAAATGGGTTCCTTTGAAAGCCTTTATTCCCTGTACTTTGTGGATCAGGACTCTGTGATTTGACTGTTTTCTTCTGCTTCTCATTGATTAAACACTAGCTGATTTTTTGAAACTCTAGGAGCTACTTAGGGCTGAAATGAGCAGAGATTTCCTTATGACTGTGGAAATAGTCTAAAATTAGATTGTGTTGATGGTTGTACAACTCTGTAAACTTAGTAAAAAGTTATTGAATGTTATAATTTCTAAGTTACACATTAGTAAACTTGGACAAAAAACATCACTTGGGCACCTAGACAGCTGTCCATTTTTGTATGTGTCATCATACTAACTATAATGTGGGGAAAATGGCCTGAAGATGAATGTAAAGAATATAGTAGTCACGTGAAATCCCATGTATGTGTCTGTATTTTTAAACAGATTGTATCCCCAAGAAAATGCAATTGGACAGACTGTTCAAAAGAAGTTTAATACTAAAAAGAAATTTTCTTGTCATGCTGCATACCAAACTAATGAGGCACACCCAGTAACTTTGCTCTCTGAAACCAATGAGGTGCATTCTGAAGCCAAACCCTTTCAGTCCAAGAAAGAGGTGGTTACTAAAACCATTGCTGCTCTTCCTCAAATGGGATCTAGTCCTGATGTGATCATTGAAGAAATCATTGAAGAGAACCCGGAAAGTGAGTGAATATATAGAAGCAGCAAAACAAAACAAAAAAAAACCTTGTGTCTGTAATTCAAAACAATTTGTACAATGTGTACTATTTTCCCCTGCACTTAACCAGAAACATGTTGTGTTATAATCATAAACTTCGTTATGAATTAAAACCTGTTGATTCCATGCCCTTATATCCTGATTTTTCAAAGTTCTAGTAATTTTTAGTTTTTATGCTGCTCTCTAGCTAACCTCCAAGATGTATAATTCCAACATTTGATATAAATTAAATAGGGTATTTGACTTTTGAGTGTTGAGCATAATAAACTTTATATAAAAGTTGTATATATAAATAAATGAGAGCAATGTGATTTGTGGAAGTAGTTTCATTACTTTGTCCTTGAATTTAAGAACAATTTCTCTTGTCTTTATTCTGAGATTTTATCTGCTAAGAAACTAATCATTATAACTATAACAGCATCTATTGTAGACCTTTTAAAGGCTACACACAGTTACTTGTCTAGCTTTCCAGGGTTGGCATTTCCTTATTATCATTGCAGTGAGATTCTGCTATCGATAATTTCCTACCACCAGTCTTCTTTAAGACCATTTCAAGATTGGTTTTAATTTTTTCTCCTCCGCCTGTCTGTTTTACTGGTTAACTCTTCAGAATGACAGTTTAACTACCAAAAAAAGTTCCCTCTGTGCCACACTGCAGCCACAGTGAGTTAGAGTAACTTATGAGAATAATTTATGACTTTACCTTGTAATACAAAGTGTCTTGCCATTTTAGAATTTTGCCATTTCAGGTACAGCTTTTTGAACAAAAGTATACCACTGTCAACATTAACAAAATTAGTACAATTGCCTTTATTTCTTATTTTGATGAAGCCTGCTTTACAGACTGTTTTATGGAGACACCTGTATATCCAAAAAAGCCTGTTCAGAAAAAGCCATCTGTTTCTTTTGGATCAAAACCAGGTACTTTAGCAATTACTGAATGTAGTATAGTTTGTGATATATTAGTAATTCTTATCTACTGTAAATCGGTGAGTAAAATGAATTTTCATGATAACTAGTATTGCTTCCTTTTGTAATGTTAAATCTTTAACTGTATTTGATGAAATTATTTCTGAAATTGATAACATGTCTCTTAACTGTCCTCCCTAGTTATACATATTATATTTTTTGTCACTAGCCACAATTATTGTTTGGATATGTATTGGTCTGATAGGTTAAAATAATGTTTAGCTTCTGTTCTCATTGCTTGTGGTTTCCATTTGCTTTCCTCCTCATCTTTGTTTTTTTAAACATTTTTACAGGCTAATCCTAGATAATAACTAGAACATCTGTATTGTTCACAAATTAAATAAGTATTTAAAAACCCTGTGAAACTTTTCCTCATTCATTAGTTCCATTCATCTCTTCCTTCTCTGAGTTTCTACAAGCAATGTAAGCATAAACAAATACACATAGATTCTTTTTCTAACTTCCTTTTGTTGTAGGTTTTATTTTTACACAAAAGCATAGAACATAGCTTACCATAGGCATTATTCTGTGCTGTTTTCTTTTCACTTAACATTATATGAGAGTAACTAAAAAACTATTGCTATAAGATCATAGAAATCTTTATTAGACAAAATTATCAAAATTTGAATTTATTTCTTCTTGACATATCAGTCATCTAGAACTGTACACTTCTGCAGGCAAGGTTTTCATCTCTCTAACACTTCCCTGAAAAATTCTGTACACTTTTATGCACACCACATTGAAATGGCAGTTTGGGTATCCTTGAGAGAGGAACTTCAATCATGTTCCTTGTAGATGTTCTTTGAGTTGGGGAAAAACAGTCTGAGGGAGCAAGAACAGGGCTGTAGGGTGAGTGGAGTAAGGTTTCCCAGTGAGATGCCCATTGGACAGCTCATGCTACATGAAAGAATGAGCTGGTACACTGTGATAGGAAAAAAATCCTCTGCAAAACTTGCCTGTTTTTTACCTCACTGGTGCAGTTTCAAAATTTTCTTAACATTAATTCTTTTCTAGTGAGCTCTCGTGTCCTTTGAGAAAAATCTGTCAAGATTCCCCCTCTGGAATGCCAAACTATAGTCATCATAACCTTCTAAGCTGACTACTTAGCCTTGAATTTAACTGACTGCAGAGACCCCTGTAAGCAACTATTTTGAATGGCCTTTTTTTTTAAATAATCATTTTATTAGGGGCTCATACAACTCATCTCAATCCATACATACATCATTTGTGTCCAACACATTAGTACATATGTTGAGTTGACTTCATCATTCTCACACCTGCTTTCCACTTGAGCTTTTTTTTTTTTTAGAGTATCCTAAGGAGACGGGGAAAACAAAACAAAAAAACCTTCATTAAGTCCATTCTGACTCATAGCGAACCCTATAGAACAGAGTAGGGTCTCTAGTGCATCTGAGGCTATAACTCTTTACAGGAGGAGATACCGTAACTTCATTTCATTTCTCCTGTTGACCTTGCAATTAGCAACCCAACTCAGAACCCACTGTGCCACCAAGGCTCCTATTCAAGAGTAGAAGACAAGTGTTTTGCTCTGTGTGTGCAGCCATTCATGAATGACAGGGACATGATTAAATAGTATTTCTTTAAGAAATAGTGCATATATGAACTGGAAGCTTCACAGCAGTACTTTGACTGATTCTCATACTGCAGAGATCTTTCTGTGTCACTTGACTTAACTCCTACATAGAGCAAATGATCTGTCTTGCCTCTATTCCACTCCCATCCCCAGTCATCACACACCTGCCCCTAAATGCTTTCTAGACTTTGGCTTTGCCCAGACATTCTTTATTATCCCTCTAATCTGATTTATGAGAGTTGGGGTTGAGATTGGCTATGCAGTAATTACAGGTTCTATAGACACCACATGAATTAAGTAGGCTTATGTGAACTACACTAGAAACTTAATTAATACAAATGGGGCTGTGAATTTCAGAAATATTCAAAAATAAACTCAAGTTTTATAATCTAGTGGTTGTAACATATACTCTGACATTAGAATCTACATTTTGCAAATAACAGTCTTTGCAGTTTCTGTTGCTAGAGAATTCATTGTAGAAAGTGATCCATTTGTTGTATCAATTGGTTATCATTGTTAATTATGACTGTTTCATGGAGTGTCCGTGTTTTAGAGTTTACAATCCCATGAGATATTCATTAGTTCACAGGAAATTGTATTTGTTCAGCATTTGCGGATTCTCTGCTCATTTATAGTGGACTAATGTGGTTTAAATTCTTATCCAGGTTCTCCAGAGCTAGTTTTGGTAAGCCATGTAATACATCCTTGCCACTTCTATATTCGGAAGTATTCGCAAATAAAAGATGCAACGTTATTAGAAAAGAAGGTGAACCAGATTTGCAACAAGAGTTTACATCTCAGTCCTTCGGATATCTTGGACCTAGGTAAAGAAATAATACTCCTAAACAAAAACATCAATTTTATCTTAATACCATCATGTTTGGCCAACCCATATAGATTTTTTATAATCTATAGTAGTTCCAGCATGAAGTTAAGTTTTGTAAATTGACTAAGGGTTAAAACTGGCCATTGGCACAGTGTCAGAGAGTTAGATGTAGACATTATTATGGAGTGAGGGGAATTGTTTTTAAAATTATAAAACATTCGACAAGTTGTCTAAACTGCCCCTTTGTCTCCAGGGAAACCTGTACCTTCTAAATTAACAGTTTGATCTGTTTCGTGCGCTCTACGTAGGGTGTTAAGGAAAGCTTTGAACACTGAAATATAAGATCCATGAGGACAATGGCCTTTCAACTAGCCTATTTTTATTAGCCCATAGAGAGGACTATACAGCATCCCTCTGTATATGATCACTGATCAAATCTTACCAGATTTAGCTTCAAAATACAGTTTCATTGTTTGGCAGGAAGCCCTGGTGGCTTGTAAGCCCACTAGATTATAAAACTTCAAAATACTATATTTGAGTAGTTAGCTAAGGGTTAAAATGACATGGCTAGTAGGTTACATGTTGCTAATAATTTGACTCCCACAATAGACCCTAAGGAGAAATAGGAGGCTTTCTACTCCAATGAAGATTTATATTTATAGCCTTGCAAACATAGTGACTGTATAGGCAATTCTGCTCTTTCCTATAGGAGCACTCTGAGTTGGAATTGACTCAGTGGCAGTAAAACTACTTGGCTTTCCTCAGAGCTCTTTAATTATGCTGTATGATTTGGGATTAGGACTTCAACCTCTTTGGGCCTTGACTTTCTTGGAAGGCGGACCTTTGCTTGTTTACTTTTTGATCTTGGTTATCAATTTTTAATCCATTTGGTTTTATGTAATCCATCCAGAAAGCCTTCCTCCGTTGCTAAATCCTTAGTTCATCTTCCCCCTCCTATGAAGTTTATATTAGTAAATTAATATAAATTAATGTTGGCTTTTCCTGTACAGCTTTTCATTATTTCTCTATCCTACATTACAACTTCCTTTATGCTACCACAGTACTGTATATTGCAAGTTTAAAGACATTTCTTTTTGTGTGCATGAGGAGAGAGAATCTTCATTGTGACAAATACAGTGAATTACCTCATTCACCTGTTTCTTTTCCTTTCTGGAACTTTTTCATGGTAGAGCAGTCTCATTCATCTGTGCTAGTATGGTTCATAAAACATGTAACTGCGACTATATCTTCGGTGTTTTATATCTCCCCATCAGCTCATAAGTTTATATAATAAAAATATAGAAATACTATATTTGGGTATTTGGCGAAGGGTTGAAATGACATTCTTATGTCACTTGGCACAATATTATATGATTGGTAAGGAAATAAAAATGTCTTGAGTAAATCCTGGTGGCATTTTGGTTAAAGTACTTTGTGCTAATTAAAAGGCTGGTCAATCAAACTCACCAACTGCTATTTGGAGGGAAGATGGGGCAGCCTGGTTCCATAAAGGTTTACAGCCTTGGAAGGCATACGGAGCAGTTCTGCTCTGTCTTTTAAGATCACAACGAGTTCAAAACGACCCAATGGCAGTGAATTTGGGGGTTTGGGTAAGTGGTAAAACTAATGGGTATGTCCGTGTTTGTAAATCGCACTTAATTAGGTATATGGCTCCTTAAACATTGATCATGGCTTATCTCATTATTTAGGTACAAGAATATTTGTAAACAGTATTGAGAATGGAATGTGGTGTCGAGGAATGATCACTGAATTAATTCCCATAGAAAATAAAGACATGAGAAAACCTGGGAGTCCAACCAAGTGCTCAGTCTGTGAAGTTGCACTACTGCAAATATTTATGGTAGATTTTGGAAATTCTGAAGTCTTAATTGTTCCTGGGTATGATGTTTTATAATTTCTCTGTCTTTCTGGCCTGTTTAGAAGCATGGGTAGAGGAGTTTATAGAATAAACGCCATTAGGAGGGAGTAGAGAGGAGTAATTTATTTAATTTTTCTCTTCTCAAATATTTATTATTTATTATTTTGTTCTGAGTTTGTTTTGGTAAATTCATAAAATACTTTATCAGTGATAATAGATGAGAAAATTGGAAAAGGAGTTTTTTTTAACATACTTTAACTTAAGTATTATTTTACTGTGAAACGGGGAATAATGCACAAAAACTGTTTTTTGAAATAAAATGTTATTGTTAGCTGCAGGATTACTGAGTTGACTTTTTATTGGATTCTGCCATTATTAGTGCATGTTAAAGTGATATAGTGTCTAACTTTAAGTATTTAAAAAATATTTCCCTCAGACTTTTATGAGAATTAAATAAGCCAAAAACTGTTGTAAGAACCACTATTAACCATATCATGATCACTTCATGTAATGGCCACAGTGTTATAAATTAACAGATGTATATTTGGGCATTGTCATTGAGTTTAAACTGAATTGGAATATTAAAGAGAATTCAGATTCAGGTAGCTGATAATTTAATAGATAACAATATCATATGCTAAAGAAATCTAGATTATGTAGGTCCTTAGGTGACAGATAATAGATTGTACTTGACTGCTAACCTAAAGGTTGGTGGTTCAAAAACCACCCAAACATACCACCAAAGAGAAGGCCTGGCAATACAGAATATGCTTTTGGTAAAGTTACAGCCAATAAGTCACATTTACTCTGTGGCAGCTAACAACAGTAATGAAGTATGAATTAGAATATAATGGAGAATCTCTTTAGAAATACCTTTTATGGGGAACCCAAGTTCGGATTTGACACATTATTCTCGCCAAATAATACCTGACTTCCTCCTAGAATTGGTGAGACACGTGTGAGACCAGAACACATTGCTGAGCAGCATATAGTTCTAAGTGATCTATGCCTGGTTCTAAGGAAGCCTGACTCCTTTATTGAAGAGATGCTGGAAGACATCCAGCCATTTGCTCAGCCATGCTCACTGAAAGACATTGTACCGCCAAATTCAGTAAGTACAATTTAAATTACTTCCTCTTTGGAAGCTGAATATTCCAATTTTACCGATGTGTTTTGCTAATCAGATTGTAAGTTTATACCCAGAGCACTAATCCTCCTGGTGAATACATATGATATAATGAGCTATTTGGTACCAATTACTTTTCAACTTTAGCTTCTACAAGTAGAAATAATCTTAACAGGAAATGGAATTGAATAAACAAATACCAAAATAATTGGTAAACGAACTATCCAAGTAAAGCACTAGATTTTGGAGTCAAAAAAAATCTAGAGAAATCATTTTATATACCGTAGGGCATATTCTGTACTTCCATGGCACTTTGTCCATTACCTCACATTATTTTTTTTTGTTTGTCTTTTTATGAGTCTCTCTCCCCTGGCAAGATCACGAACTAGCACCCAGGAATTATGTGTAAGAATAAATGCTAAATTGTAAGTTCTGTGGAAGGAATTACTCAATGTCTAATCATTGGATTCTCAGCACTTAGACCATAGTAGACATTCAACAAATATTTAAAAGAATGAATAAATTAATGAGTAAAAATTAGGAGGAAACAAAAAAATATTAGCAGTGGTGTTTTTCTCAAGAAGCTGAGATCATGTTTCTTCATAAAATTTTGCTTTTATCCTTCTATTCAAAGTCGCCTGGTGGTACAATGGTTAAGTGGGAGACTGCTAACCTAAAAACTGGTGGTTCAAGCCCACCAGTTTCACAGGACATAAGATCATTACTACATAGGAAATTCTGTGGGGCGATTCTGCTTCTTTCTAGAGGGTTGCTATGATGCTGACTCATCTCAAGGGCATGCACAACAATGACATACGTTTTTCCAGTTTCTGTACCGAGTAGGTTTTACTTTTATAATCATAAAAACAAAAACATTAGAATGGGTTTTTGTTATTACTGTTTTCTAAGGAATGTGTCATTAACCTTGAAAGGGTCCATATTTAAAATTTATTTTTTAAATGGGTAAATGTTTTTCTTACTGCTAAAAGTAGCAATATGCTTCAGATATTGCCAGTAATAGAAGTTAGATAAACTGCTAATGATTGTAAATATCTTGATTTATTACATGAATTCCATTATACTTTAAAAATTATCTTTTGAATTTTCATCCTTAAGTGGAAAATGTGTTTAGTACTTCTTTGTTTTAATTTTTTGTAATCATATTAATATTCTAATGTGAAATTAAATTCTGAGGTGAAAATGCTTATGGACACCTTGAGAATATGTTTGTAAAACCAAAGTTGAGTCCACATATTGCCCATACTTAGAGACTGCCATTGGGTTTGTAACCTCAGATGTTTTCTTAATGTCTGTGGTTTGCATAGAGTTTTAGATTATGGTTGGTATTAAGCTAAAACTCTAGAGTACTATAATGTTAGAGCTAATTTTAACTATGACTCCTTTTGAATTTTATATTTTTCAACAGAATAAAGGCTGGGGAAAAGAAGCTAAAATGGAATTTTTGAAAATGGTAAATAACAAGGCTGTTTTAATGAAAGTTTTTCAAGAGGAGGATGGGATGCTCATTGTAGACCTACAAAAACCACCAACAAATAAAATAAGTAGTGATATGCCAGTGTCTCTCAGAGATGCTTTAGTTTTCATGGAACTAGCAAGGTAGGAAATTTCCTAAAACTTAAATATTCCTTGGGCTTATAGCTATAAATTAGGATAGCAGATTTTGCCTTTAAAATTACTATACTACGAGGTTAAAAATATTGTTATCAGAGATACTAAGAATAGTTTACCTTTGAACACTGCATCAAATAATTTGGTTCAAGGAAAAGGTAGTTCAACATAGAAAATATTTGTGGGTATTTGGGGATCCTTTGTAACTTGACAAGCAACTATAATAGGGTTCTAAGTATTAATAGTTTTATAATTTCTGGTTTATATACCTAGCCTTGAGAATGAGTTCATGATTAATATATGTCTACAGTACTAATCTAAAATATGGGTAACTTTCCTAAGGTCCTTTGACCTTAATCCCACCCCCACCCCCTAGTCTCTGATGAGTTTGGTAATTCAAGCAAATCATTAGTTAGGTTATTTAGGTAATGGAAGAGCTTAATATGCTGCCCTGGAAATAGAGTCTCAAAGCTTGAAGATATCTCCTAGATCTATGGTTCTCAATATTCCTAATGCCATAACCCTTTAATATAGTTCCTCATGTTGTGGTGACTCCCCCAACCATAAAATTATTTTTGTTGCTACTTTATAACTGTAATTTTGCTAATGTTATGAATCGGGCGACCCCTGTGAAAGGGTCGTTCAGTCCCCAAAGGGGTCGCGATCCACAGATTGAGAACCGCTGTCCTAGATTCTACTACCAAACATGGTAGCACAGTGGGAAGCACTCAGCTTACCACCAATTCAGGTTGGTGGTACAAACCCACCAGCTGCTCTGAGAAGAAAGGTAAGACAGACTGCTTTTATAAGATGACAGAAACTCTAGAGGGCAGTTCTGTGCTGTCTGATAGGGATGGCATTGGTCATAATTGACTCACTAGCAATGTGTCTTTGTTTTAAATAGACTGTGACTATCAAATTCAGCCAAAAGTTAGAAAAGAAACAGCTATGAATCTGAGGATAACATATATATAGGTCCAGCTTTAAAATGTCCTAACACAAATTTGAAGAGTTTTAAGTTTTGAGACCTGACTTCTTATTTAATCGGGTTTGATAATCATAAGAAATGTGGAAGTCAGAAGAAAGAAACTGCCGCTGCAAAGGGAGTATTTTTGGTGTATGGGTAAGATCTTTCTTCAGAGTAACTCAGAAGAGAGACTTTAAGAAAATGGCTTTTAATCATGATTTAATTATGCTTTTAATTAGGTTTAGGTCACAATCACCAAGAAGTTATGCTGAAAATACTATGACTTTACACTATAATCTACCTGTTTTGCCAAACAAAATGACAAATATATCGGTTATGGTTTGTCATATAAATAGTCCTAGTGATTTCTATCTTCAGTTGGTAAGTACATAGTGTTTCTTTGAGATAAAATAATTTTACGTAGACATGTATAATGGAAGTGAACACCCACTATGAATTATAGTTAATGCAAACACACTACAATCAACCTTCTGTACACATTTTAAAGTATTTAACTTTATTGTGGTAATATTTATATAGCAAAGCGTCTGCCATTTTAACAATTTTTAAATGTGTGCAATTCAGTGACCTTGATTAGTCATGTATTTTTCAGTCATCATGACAGCCCATTTCCGCAAGTCTCTTACCACCCCAAACAGTAGCTTCCTGTCCTTTGTGCAGTAACTTCCAGCCCTAAGCTCCCTTGGTTATCACTTATAAACTTTGGCCTCTCTGCTTTTGACTGTTCTAGCAATTTTGCATAAGCAGAGTCCCACAATAATGTTTTCAAGAGTCATCAGTGCTATAACATTTATCAAAACTGCGCTTCTCTTTATAGTCGAATAATGACCCTCATATGGCTAATACCCTGTATTATCCATTCCTCTGTTCATGACACTTGGGTTGTCTCTGCCTTCTGGCTATTGTGAATAATGCTGCAGTGAACATTGCAAGCATCTGCTGGAGACCGTGCTTTCAAGTCTGTAATGTGTGTGTCTAGGCATTGCTGGAATTGGATTTCTGTTCAAGGAACCACCAAATTGCTTCAACATCACTGATAGATGAGAGGTCTAATTTCTCAACATCGTCTCTAACACTTTTTATTTTCTGATGCTAGTCAGTGATTTTAATTTGCATTTCTCTTATAATGCTAATGAAGTTGATTATCTTTTCTTGGGCTCACTGGCCACTTATATATCTTCTTTGGGGGAAATAACTGTGCAAATCTCTAGTCCGTTTTTACTGGAGTGGTTTTGCTGTTGTTGAATTGTGTGGGTCATGGATATTAAACCTTTGTCAGATAAATGACTCCCCAGTAGGGTTTCTCATTCTGTACTCTATCGCTTTACTTTCTAATAAGATCCTCTGGTAAACAAAGCTCCTGCTTTTGATGAAGTCCCTATCATAGTTCACTAGTGCTGCTGTAACAGAAGAACCACAAGTGCTTGGTTTGAGAAAGAGAAATTTATTTTCTCACAGTGCAGGAACCTAGACGTCCAAATTCAGAGCCCTGTCAAAAGGCTCACCTGGTGTTGACCCTGAGGGAAGACTCTTAATTCTTTCTGCTTTTTGCGGTTCTGACCTTCTTCAGTACCTTGCTAATCTTTGTATGGCATGTCTTCCCCCATTTGTGCTTCTTTCTGTGACTAATCTGCTCTTTTCATATCTTTGAAGTGATTAGGTTTAGAATACACCAGCACAGATAATGACCTTGTTAATGCAGCAAAGAATATCCTGTTTACTGTTAAGGATTACATCCACATGTAAAGGAGTTTAGGATTCCAACACAGGTGGGGTAGGGGACATGGTTCTGTCATAGTTCCATTTGTCTATTTTGTCTTTTTATTACTAATGCTTCTGGTGCTATATATATTAGTTCATTTTCAAAAGCAAAGTCTCGAAACTTTGCCCCTGTGATTTCTTCTAAAATTGTCATGGTTTAGGTTCCTAGGTTTAGAGCATTGATCTATTTTGAATTAATTTTTATGTGTAGCCTGAAGTATGAGTCCAACGTCATTCTTTTGCGTGTACAGCTTCCTTCCTCATTTAATAGACTTGGCATCCTTATCAAAAGATGAGTTGCTCATAAATGTGTATATTTTTTTCTGGACTCCCAATGTATTCCATTGGTTTATACGTCTCTCATGTCAATACCATTCTGTTTTGATTACTGTAACTCTATAGTATATTTTGAGCTGGAGAAAGTTTTTCTTACTTACTTTCTCAAAATTGTTTTGAATATTCTACATCCTTCATAATCCCATATGAATTTGAAGAATGGCTTTTTTAATTTCTGGAAAAAAGACTACTGAGATTTTGATAGGGATTGTGTTGAATCTATGAATGCTATAGGTACTATCACCATCTTAAAAATATTAATTATTAAGCGGTAAGAACACAATGCCATAGACAGGGGAACAACTACGGAATTAAAATCAACAAGAAGGATGTAGAGATCCTGGGGTGGGGTGGGGTTGAGCAACAGCAATCTAGGTGAGAAGAATTAGTGAGAGGCAGAAGTAAGATGGTGGGGCAGAAGGAAGGTAAAAGGAAACAGGAATGATCTAGGAAGCAAAGCTATGGATAGAGGTATAAGCATAGGTGTGTACATATGTAAATACATGAATTCATAAAAATAGAGGTATTGGCCTATATACATATACTTACATGGCAATACACTGAGGTAGTGGACAGACTTTGGGCCTCTGTTCATATCCTCCCTCAATGCAAGAACACTTTGTTCTAACAAACTATCATTCTGTGATGTTTACCATCGTGGCACAATCGCTGAAGACAAAATGGGTGCATAAGCAAATATGATGAAGAAATCAATGGTTCCCAGCTATCAAAAGATAAAGTGTCTGGGGTCTTAAAGGCTTAAAGTTAAACAAGCAGCCATTTAGCAGAGAAACAAGCCCACGTGGAAGAAGCACACCAGCCTGTGCGATCATGAGGTGTTGTCGGGATCGGTAACAGGCATCAGAAGACCATAACAAACAAACAAACAAAAAAACCCACGTTGTTGAGAACAAGGGGGGTTGGAGCAGAGACCCAAAGCCCATCTGTAGACAATGGGACATCCCCTTACAGAGGGGTCACAGGGAAGGGATGAGTCAATCGGCGCAGTAAAGTACTGATGAAACGACATTACTCTGGATCCTTGAGGCTTCCTCACCCCCCACTATCATGACCCCAGTCCTGCTTTTCACTGTGGGTTAGATTGGAGCATGTGCACATTTACCCATAAGAGATAAGAGCTCGACACAAGGAATCTAGGAACAGGGATGGGAATAGTGATGCCATAAGAGTATGGGGGAGGAAGAGAACCAATCTCGATGACCAACACATAACCACACACAAACCTCCTCCATGGGGACAAACAGCAGAAACCACAGGGGAAGTGAGACTGGTCGGTGTAAGAGATGAAAATAATAATAATTTATAATTTATCA